TTTTTTTGAGACAGAGTCTTGCTCTGTTGCCCAGGGTAGAGTGCAGTGACATCAGCCTAGCTCACAGCAACCTCAAATTCCTGGGCTCCAGTGATTTTCCTGCCTCAGCCTCCTGAGTAGCTGGGACTACAGGCATGCACCACCACACCCAGCTCATTTTTCTATTTTTAGTAGAGACGGGGTCTCATTCTTGCTCAGGCTGGTCTCAAACTCCTGACCTCAAGCAATCCTCTTGCCTCAGCCTCCCAGAGTGCTAGGATTACAGGCGTGAGCCACCGCGCCCGGCCCTCTCTTCTCTTCTTGATGGAGCCTTCTGTGTCCTCACATGACCTTTCCTCTGTGCATGTGTGGAGAGACAGCCGGCTCTCTGGTGTCTCTTCCTCTTCTTGTAAGGACACCAGTCCTATCAGATTAGGGCCCCACCCTTATGACCTCATTTTACCTTTATTACCCTCTTATAGGCCCTATTTACAAATAGTCACTTGGGGAAAGGGCTTCGATATATGAATTGGGGGGCGGGGAGACACAACTGAGTCTGTAACAGTGGTCAAAGGGATTTGGAGGTGGAAGGTCCATGGGATCTGGGCGTGGAGAAGTCAGCCAGTGGCTGGGAGGCAGAGGACAGGAGTACTGAGAGACCTGTGGTGGATCAGGCTGGTGGCTTCCTCCTGGCTGCGTGTGTACCCAGGAGACGAAGCCCTTGCCCAGCACTGACAAGCTGAGCAAGCTTAGATGGTCTGTTCAGCCAGTAGCATGCCCACTTTGTGCTAGATATCCACTCTGGCTCATCCAACACTCAGAAGTAACAGTGCCCGTAGTGAGCAGTGGCCAGGGAGCATTTTCTCAAGACAGGAGAAGAAAAGAGGATAAGGAAAGAAAGCGAAAGTCTGGGGTAGAATGAGCCAAATCTTTGTGGAAATGCTGAGCCACCCAAAAGCTTTGAATCTGGTCCCCTGGGGCACCTCTGATCCTGAAGAGGACCTTGGTGTTTGCACACCTCTGGTGTCCAGCGGCAGGCCCAGGCTGCTTGCTGGCCTTTGTCACTTTGGCTCAGTGGCTCTCAGCTGGGGGCAATTTTGTTCCCCCCTTCCCGGGGACATTTGTCAACGTCTAGAGATGTTTTACTGTCATTATGGGGTGGGGAGGATGTAGACGGATGCAACTGGAAGCTACTGGGCAAAAGCCAGGGATGCTATTAAACATCCTATGACCCACAGGACGGTACCACAATAAAGAATTATCTGGTCCAAAATATCAGTAGTGCCAAGGTTGACAAACCTGCTTTAGCTATTTTGGGTGAATCAAATATATCTTCCAGGTACATACCTTCCTGCTATTATAATGGTTAAGAGACATCTCTGGAGCCATACTGCTTGGGTTTGATAGCTCATTAAACTGTATGATCTTGGGCACATTATTTAACCTTTCTGTGCCTCGGTTTCCTCATCTGTAAAATGGGGATTTCGTTGGGTTGCTGTGAGGATCTAATGAGATAATACAGGCAAGACTCTTAGAATAAAGTCTGACATGTATAAGAATAATGTAGAAATGACAGTGGTAGTAGTTAGCATTTTTATTGTGCAGGTGCCTGTGGTGGCCGTGTTGGGTTCCGGGGGTGGAACCCGAGCCATGTCTTCCCTGTACGGCAGCCTGGCAGGGCTGCAGGAGCTCGGCCTGCTGGACACTGTGACCTACCTGAGCGGGGTGTCTGGGTCCACCTGGTAAGTGAGATGGGCAGGGTGCAGAGTAAAGGAGAGCCCTGAAGGGGCAGTGGCGTGACATGTGATCTGATGGAGTCCCTGAGGAAGGGCTAGGATCCTGCCTCCAAGGGCTGAGTCCCCAGGGCCCTTCTGAGTGAGGGTATAGGGCAACAGGGGACGGACGGATCATTCACAGACTCCTGCATCCCAGCCCGCCTGCCGTGCTTCCTGTCCCTAACTCAAGGCACACCCTCCATTCCCAGGTGCATCTCCACACTCTACAAGGACCTGGCCTGGTCCCAGGTGGCCTTGCAGGGCCCCATTGAGCGTGCCCAGGCTCGGGTTTGCAGCAGTAAGCTGGGGGCAATGTCCACAGAGCAGCTGCAATACTACACTCAGGAACTGGGGGTCCGGGAGCGCAGCGGCCAAAGCGTGTCCCTCATCGACCTCTGGGGCCTCCTCGTGGAGTATTTCCTGTATCAGGAGGTAAGAGAAGAGCAAGAAGTAAATACACATCTCCTCTCCACTCCTTCATCCTCCCCCACCCCAGATGTTTCTGCCTTATCCCTTGAGCTAAGATCTGTGCTAACACCTTTTCCTGAGGTCTGGGCTCTCCTGGGGACAAAGGGTGAAACACCAGGGTGGGCTGACATCATGTCACCTTTCTGGCTCCTGTTAACTAAAAAAATTAACGAGGGTTCTACTTTGGAAAAAGGAGAATTTTATTTCTTATAAAGGGTAGTAGCCTGGCAGCCATTCCAACATGTTGGAAAGCAGAGTCCTGGCCAGAAGCCAGGCACACGTGCTTCAAAGACACACAAAAGGAGATTTTATACGGAGCGGGGTGGTCAAATATACATATTCAACAAGCTATAGGAGGAGTCATGAATGTTTATGAAGGGAAATAATGCATTTGTAATTGTGCTGTATGTCTCTCCCATCCCATCGTGGCTGGGAACTCAGTTTTAAGGTGTTTCTGGGGTCCCCTTGGCTGAGAGGAGTCCATTCAGTTAGCAGAGGACTTAGGGTTTTATTTTTAGTTCACAGTCCCCCACTTTGGCTGAGATATGCCAGAGTCAGTAGCAATGGCCAAACTTCATTCTGTCTCGTCACTGATGGGGTAGAGGGCTATTTGCCCCAGGTCCATCCACCAGGGGTGGGGAACCTGCAGCCTTGGGGCCACATGTGGCCTTCTGGATCCTTGAATGTGGCCTTTTGACTGAATCCGAATTTTACAGAATAAGTTCTTGGACCCCTATGGCCAAGGAGAGGTTTAGAGCCATAACAGCTAACGGCCAATTAAACATTTTGGGCCAGATGGGAATGGGAGTGGACAGGCACTCATTAACTCCTTTAAAATCTTTTAAGCAATGTAGTTGAAAACCAAATTCTAAAAACAAGGTTATAAGATTAATTTATCTATAAGTATTGCACTACTATAGTCTTGGTTTTAGTTACAGACTTGTAGCAATTAGTTATATGATCATAAGTATTTCGTTAAGGCCATTTTATCCCTCAAACTGGCCCTTACAATCTCATGCGCCTCCCTCTTCTGCGACGGTCCCCAGGCCTAGAGGGGGGAAGATCTGTTGTATGATAACGGGGCATAGCTTGTCTTCACAGCGCTGGCCTTGCCGACCCAGGTCGCCCTTGTGGGCATGCCACACCCGCCGGGTGCTGGTCTCGGACCACAGGGATGAGGCCAAGCTGCCTCCCTTCTTTCCGGCCCAGAAAAACCCCACCAAGCTGTCTGACCAGCAGGAGGCAGTCAGCCAGGGTCAGAACCCGTACCCCATCTATGCCAGTGTCAACGTCCACACCAACATCAGTGGGGAAGACTTTGCAGGTGCCTGGGTGTGGGGACGAGGGAAGGAGCTAGTGGAGGTGGGCAGTGGGAGGCTGAGAGAGGCCAGGACGAGCAGGGTGCAAGTGGGAGGTGCCACACACACGGGCCTTGGAGAGCAATGGGGTTGCTGCCGCCTGTTCTTGGTAAGGCTGATTCCTGCTTGGGCACAAGGGCCCTGGTGGGAGACCCCTGGCGACTTTCCCTTCACTTGGGCCCTCAGAGTGGTGTGAGTTCACCCCCCACGAGGTCGGCTTTCCCAAGTACGGGGCTTATGTTCCCACGGAGCTCTTCGGCTCGGAGTTCTTCATGGGACGACTGCTGCAGCTGCAGCCTGAGCCCCGGATTTGCTACCTGCAGGGTGAGTCTCAGCTGGAGGGCCGGGGACAGACAGGTATGAGGGCCAGGCCCTGACATGGGGTGGGGTCCTGTCTGTCTCCTTAGGAGTGTGGGGCAGCGCCTTCGCAGCCAGCCTGGACGAGATCTTCTTGAAGACCTCGGGCTCTGGCCTGGGCTTCCTGGCGTGGCACAGAGGCAGTGTAAACATCACAGGTGAGGGTAGCGACCCCGACCCCTCCCACACTGCTCTCCAGCAGTAGGGCCCTGGCAGAGGCATGAAGAATGAGGGAGGGGACGGCGAAGGACTCGTCTGTCCCACTGGATTTAGGGAAGTCCTGAGGAAATGACTTCCAACTCAGGGTCTCTGGATGCCCAGAGGTGTGATAAGAGCACACCTCTGAGTTCTCTGCTTGGGCTCCGATTAGCTCCACTCAGCCCAGGAGCGTGGGGTATGTGGTTGCCACTCTGTCCACACCCTTCACTGGCTCCCCTTCTGCCTGGTCCTTAAATGACTCACGAGAGCCCTGCTGCACAGAACACCTTTCCCACCTGTCCCCCAAGGGTAACCTGTGCTCTGCTGAGTCAGCTCAGATGTTTTTTGTCTGACGGCTTCTCTTTTTCACTCCATCCTTCCAGGCTGGTTGAGGGTCTTACCACCACGTCCCCTGGGACCACGTGCACATCCTCATTGTTGTCCATCCCTTGGGGCATTGTCATGATTTATTGTCTCTTTATGTGGCACTCCCCCACAAGTAAGCCACGAGGCTGGAGGGCCAGGGCCAGACCCTGTTCACCTTTGCATTCTCACCCTAGCACAGTGCTGGGCACATAGTAGCTGCTCAGTTAGCATTTAATAAATGAAATTCTGATTGGAATTGTACACATAACTATTTTTAAAAGGGTAGGAGATAAATTATTACTTAATAAATGCAATGTCATAGGCAACTTTCAAAACTTGAGGGATATGAAAAAAGCCATGTATATGGGATTCTGTGAGGCAGTGGTGAGAGGCTGGGAGGCAGGTGGGGGAGGAAGAGGAATGTGGGGAAGGCTCACATGTAGGGGAGGGGCCTGAGCTGGGAGGTTACTGGACAAAGAAGGACACCAGTCCTTACTGTATTCTACTGTCCCTATGGCTGCCTAGACGACTGCCAGAAGCTCCAGCTGCACGACCCAGCGCGGCTGCGAACGAGGCTCTTCATGCCCCAGGGCCCCTTCTCCCAGGCCGTGCTGGACCTGTTCACCTCCCGCTTCACTTCCGCCCAGAACTTTAACTTCACCCGGGGCCTCTGTCTGCACAAGGACTACGTGGCTAGCAGAGAGTTCGTGGCCTGGAAAGGTGGGTTCTGCCCTGGGCAGAGGTGAGGGAGGTCCCCCTTCCTGCCTGGGCCTTGGCTCGCTGGGGCCAGCACTGGCTCCGGTCCAGGGCACTGAGTTGTGATCTCTTGCTGCCCGGGGGCTGATGTGGGAGGTCTCTGATTACTGTGCTGGAAGGTGGAAGGCAGGGCCGAGTGGTTGGGGTGGGAGAGCCCAAGGCTGTCAGGGAGTGAGAGAGAACTCTCCAGAGAGAACGCGAATGAAGATACAAAGAGAAGGGGCTGCTGGCAAGAGCAATTACATTTGTCCCTGTGCGCATACACACACCTCACAGACACACACCCGGACGCCTTCCCCAACCAGCTGACTCCCATGCGGGACTGCCTGTACCTGGTGGACGGAGGCTTCGCCATCAACTCTCCGTTCCCACTGGCTCTGCTGCCCCAGAGAGCGGTGGACCTCATTCTGTCCTTTGACTACTCCTTGGAAGCCCCTTTTGAGGTGAGGTGGGGGGGGGCTGGAGAGGGGAGGGGAGGAGGAGGAGGAGGTGGGGCTCTGCAGAGGGGCCTGGCTGAGTGTGTAGGGATTGCCCTTCACCGACAGCCTGGGTTCTACTCTGTGTGGCGGGGGCACCTTCCGAATACAGCACAGGCCTCCCCAGCTGGAGGGAGAGAATTGCAGAGATTACAGGAGAGTGAGATAGGAAGGAGGCCACAGAGGGTCCTCGGGAGTCTTCTAACCTGGTCGATAAGAAACCCCCTGTTCCAGATCCTGCCCCTCCATGATAGAATTCCCTGCTCCAGGCTAGGCCTAGGTCTGCTGTCCCTTTGTTACTATGGTAACAATGGAGCCATCAGGATCCCCTCAGAGAGACTCTAGCAGCAACTTCCTCAAGCTCTGTAGGCCAGTGGACAGGTGCTGCCATCAGATGTGGTTCTGGTCGTGTTGCTGGAGCAGCCCTTCCTCTCTGGCCTCCTCCCTGTCCTCCTGGGTCCTATGAGAGCGTGGGAGTGGAGGACTGACGAAGCCTCCCTCATCTGACACTGACCTTCTGTAATCAACTGAGCGTCGACCTCGTGAAATTGAAACCAGCTCCTAAGGGAGCGGAGCAGGGTTGGAGCAGGGAAGGCCATGGTAGTTACGGTGAGCACTGAGATTGATTATTGATCATTATTGATTATTGCTAATCTTTACAACAGCCCCACTGGGTAGTTATCCCTGTTTTTATTTTACACATGAAGAATCTGACTCAGAAAGGTGATATCACCTGCCTGAAGTCACTCAGCTGGTCAGAGGAAGCACAGGCCGTGAAGCCTGGGTCTGTGTGAGTCCAAGTGGAGGGCAGGCAGGGTCAGAAGCTTGCCTCCCTGCCCAGGTCTTACAGATGACAGAGAAGTACTGCCAGGACCGAGGAATCCCCTTCCCTCGGATAGAGGTGGGCCCTGAGGACTTGGAGGAGCCCCGCGAGTGCTATCTGTTTGCCAAGGCTGATGACCCCCGCTCGCCCATTGTGCTACATTTCCCCCTTGTCAACCGTACCTTTCGAACACACCTGGCCCCAGGTAAGGGGAAGCCCTGGGCCTGGGTCTGACCTGCAAAGCCCTGGGGTGGTGACGGGATGCTGTTCTCACAGTGGGTGCCCTGCAGGCCAGGACAATGTGCCAAAGCATGCCTCCTGGGGGCCTCCGTTGCCCACTGCTGCCTGCTGCTTCCGGGACCTCAGCATTCACACTGGGCCATCCCCTCCTGAGGGGCCTGAGAGCTGAGATGTGGGTCCAAGCAAGGTCCACATGGAGCCAGCCAGATGTCCTGGGACAACAAGGCTTCTGGGCTGTGCCAGCCAGTTCCACAGAGTGCCCCAGCCTGGCCTCTCCTCGGCTTCCCCACCCACAGGTGTGGAGCGGCAAACAGCTGAGGAGAGGGCCTTTGGGGACTTTGTTATCAACGGGCCAGATACCCCCTACGGCATGATGAACTTCACCTATGAGCCCCGGGACTTCGATTGGCTGGTGGCCCTGAGTCGATACAACGTTCTGAACAACATGGAGACTGTGAGGCACGCCCTCCAGCTGGCTCTGGACCGGCATCAGGCTGGGGAGAGGGCTGGGGGCTGACCCCAGCAGAGGAGGACTGTGACAGAGAGGAGAGAGCTGGGCTCTGTCCAGGGCAGTCAAGGGAGGAGTGGGGGCACTTTATGGGGCTGGCTTTGCTTCCCCTCTCTCTAGGACCTGCCTCCAGGGCCCCCAGGCCATGGAAAGTGCTTGTAGAATTGCACCTGCGTTTCTGGAGGAAAATGGGCAGTACTTCTCTGCGGGGGCTCTTGAGGAGGTAGGGCAGAAGAGAGCAGTGCTCACTGTGCAGAGGGTGTGGACAGAATCAGGCAACAGTCTAGCCGCAGGGCCCACCTCAAACACAGACCTCAGAGGTCCCAGCTCCCCGACCCTCTCCAGAGCAGGGGCTGCAGGCTGAGGTGCCACTGTCCTCCTGACACTGGGACCCCACCGAGCTCCTGGAGGCTGCTTCCAGGAATGCCGAGAGGCCCTGTGGGTAGGTTGCCAGTCTGTCGCTGACTCCACCGTCCTGCCTCTGACCCTCCTTTGCCTTCTGGCCTCCCTTGTCCCTCCTCACAGCTCCCCCTTCTCTGCCCAGCCTCCCAAAGCCTGTGGGTTGAGGCCCATGTGGCCAGGCTCCAGCTGGTGGGGGTGCTCGTCTCCCTGTGAGTTACTCACTGTGGATTACCCGTGCTCGCTCTTTAAATCTGGGCCACAATCTCTGGTCACGTGTACAGCTACCCCCTCATGCAAATATAGCTTTACCATCCCCAGGAGCTAAATGGGTGTGCCTAGAGGCACAGAGTGGACGTGCATCTGCAAGTGGGGTGTGCCAGTTCCCAGGGAGGGCAGCCGGCTGGGCTGGGCAGGGGGTACAGATAGCCCTGCCTAGGTTCCCGCCTCTTTCACACTTGCAGCCCATGCTCTGGGCGAGTCTCTGTCTTCCTCTACCTTTTTGTATTTCCCCTGACCCGCCTGGGATCCTCCAAAGATCTAGAGCCTTCCCCGCGTGGGCAGATTCAAGATTTGTGCGGAGGAGATCCGCTCTGCTCAGGCCCTCTCCATCTGGCCTTCGCCTCTACAGCGTCGCCCTCCTCACCACACCGCCCCGGTGTGGAGCCGCTGGGCCCTGCAGTGGCCAGGCTGCCAAACACGCCTTAGCTCTGGCTGCTTCTGCCCTGAGCCCGGAATGCCCTGTCTGGCTGCATGGCCTGCTCCTCCCTCTCTCACACACGAACATGCTGTCTGAGACCAAAGTCACAGTTTCTCTTTCAATCAGGGACACGTATGCCAGGAGGCTGCCCCAGTCCTGATTCTGAGAAGACCCTAGTTTGTGGTGGCCAGAGCCTGGCCTGGGACCCTGGCCCTCCAGCTGACGTGAGCTGTGAGGGCTGGAGAGCCAGTGCTTTGGTGGCATGGAGTGGGGACGGCTTGGTTCTCCTCTCCTGCCTCTTCACCCCTGCTGCCGCTGCCGCCCACCGCCTCTGCCTCTAGGCTCGGCAGGGAGAGGTCCACTGGGGAGCAGCCCGAGGCTGGCCCCTGAGCTCCTGCTATGGATATCGTCGCCACTGCTGTGCCTGCCATCATCAATAACTCGTTATTTGAACCTTCGTAGAGTTCACAGCTTAGAACTGCACAGAGCTCTTAGAACTTAGAACTCAGAGTTCACAGAGTTTTTAGAACTTCACAGAATTCACAGCTTAGAATCTGCAATAAGCCTTCAGCGCCTCAAACAGCATCAGTCTGACTCTGGCCCTAGGAATGTCAGCCCCCCAAGGACAGGGATTTTTGTCTTTTTTTTTCCACTGCTATATCCCCAGTGCCTCGAGTGCCTAGGTGCTCCGTAAATATTTGACAAATAAATGAATGGGAACCCACATTCTAAGAGATGGCTTATCAACTGCCAACCACGAAAAGGTGTGCAACACTCTACTCCAATGGTTCTTAACTTTTGAAAAGTTAACAAAAGGCTGTCGAAAGCCATGGACCTTCTCCTAAGACCCTCTCCAAGGGTTGGGAAGACATCGAGACAAGGATGGGAGGGCAGGGAGTCGGAGGCTGGTCTAGTGCTCTAGCTAAGAAATTGGTCAGCAGGTGCAGGGATGACCTCAGCCAGGGGCTGAGGAAATGTCATCAGGACTGAATCTGGGAGCCAAGCCGAGTGAGGAGCTGGCGGGAGGAGTCAAACATGACTGGGCATGGGTCTCACCTGCGCTGCACATTGGATTCCTCTGGGGAGCTTTAGAACTGATGTCCAGGCTGGCTCTGCTTGGTCTACGGCAGGGCATGTTCCACGTCCACCTCCTCCACTCGGCCCCTCTGGACCGTGGAAACTGAGGCTTCTGCAGCAAGGCCCTTGTGGCCCTTTGCCTGCGTTTCAGCTGGTTCAAGTTGGTACCACTGAAGCCTCCTCTCGTTTGTCCTGCCTCCCTCTGGCCCTCCAGTGCCTCTGCCTTCCCCCTCCTCCCATGTTCTCCTGGGCTCTCTAAACACTGCTGGGATTTTCTGGGGATTACCTCAAGGCCCCTGAAGGCGTGTAGATTTCCATTTCCCTCTTGAGTACCGGGAAAAGCTGCGCTCCCTCCCGTCCCTTCTCTCCCCACCTCTACCTCCCCGCTGACCTTGCCATCCTTTGGTTTCAAACAAATCGTCCTCTGGAGGAGTTTCAAAGGAAGTCCTGAGTCTTGAGGGACACTTGTTTTCTGTTGACCGTGACTTTTCTCTCCCCTCTCCTCTTTCCTGCTTTCCGATTCAAGTCTCTTCCCTCTCCCCCTCGGCTGCATCACAGGCTGTGCGTTCTGCTGCTAGTATTCTGGTGGTTCCTCTTGACAATTTCATTGACATACGATTTTCATGTGATAGCATGCGTCCATTCTAAGCGTTCCGTAAGTGTACAAGAGTAAGTGTAGAGTTCAATGAATTTTGCCACATTTACATATACACGTAAATACCACCACAGTCAAGATATGGAACATTTCCATCACCCTAGAAAGTTATCTTGTGTTCCATCCCGGTCCATTTCCCCACTCCTGTCCCAGGTGACCACTGATCTCCTTTCTCTCACCACAGGCTAGATTTGTCTTTTCCAGAATCCCACATAATGGGATTATATAGAGTATACTCTTGTGTGTCTGGCTTCTCTCACTCAGCAGAACACCTTTGGGATTCATCCACGTTGTGCTCATTCCTTTTTATTACTGGGTAGGAATTATGTGGATATACCACAATTGGTTTAGTCATTCCCCTACTGATAGGAATTTGGATTATTTCCAGTTTTTAGCTTTCATTAAGCTTTTTTTTTTTTTTGAGGCGGAGTCTCACTCTGTTGCCCTGGCTAGAATGAGTGCCGTGGCATTAGCCTAGCTCACAGCAACCTCAAACTCTTGGGCTCAAGCGATCCTCCTCCCTCAGCCTCCCGAGTAGCTGGGGCTACAGCCATGCGCCACCATGCCTGGCTAATTTTTTTTCTATATATTTTTAGTTGTCCAGATAATTTCTTTCTATTTTTAGTAGAGACGGGGTCTCTCTGTTGCCCTGGCTAGAGTGCGGTGGCATCAGCCTAGCTCACAGCAACCTCAGACTCCTGGGCTCAAGCCATCCTCCTGCCTCCCGAGTAGCTGGGGCTACAGCCATGCGCCACCATGCTTGGCTAATTTTTTCTATATATTTTAGTTGTCCAGCTAATTTTTTCTATTTTTAGTAGAGACGGGGTTTCGCTCTTGCTCAGGCTGGTCTCGAACTCCTGAGCTCAAACGATCCTCCCGCCTCGGCCTCCCAGAGTGCTAGGATTACAGGCGTGAGCCACCGCGCCCGGCCTCATTAAGCTCTTAATATTTAAATATTTATTTTTAAAAAGCCCATTTAAAAAGTCGGTCTCTATTTTCTCTCCCCAATGAGAAAAGCATCTCAGTGCACTCTCAGTTCCCTACACTCCTGCCCTGCACACTGCTCCCCACCCACCCCGACCACCTGGAACTTTATTTCCAGTGTATTAGAAACTTCAACATAGAAACTTTTATTTGTACTTTACAACATTTTATTGATTTATTTGCTTGCCGTTGCTTCTTATAACTCCTTTCTTCCTTTTGTGTTTTTCTTCTTGTTGGAGTGCAAAATCGAAGAGTTCTTTAACGAGGGGCTGTGGATGGCAAACGGTCTGAGTCCTATGTGTCTGGAGTTGTGTTTCCTTGCCCTGTGACTTATGAATCACAGTCTGGATGGGTATGGAATTCTTGGTTCAAACTTACATTTACTCAGGTATTAGGGCCTTCGTGCATCTGATATTGCCGATGAGCAGTCTGGTGTCAGTAGATTCTCGTTCCACTGTAGGTAATTTTGTCTTTCTCTAATTTTTAGGACTCTGATTTTCAAAAGTTTAATTATTTTTCTAAAGTATAACTTAAAAATTATCAGTGAGCTCTTTCAATTTCTAGATTCACGTCTTTTTGAAGCTCTAAGAAATTATCTGCCAATTTTATCAAAACTGCTCTTCATTCTCTGTTTCTGGAATTTGTATTAAATATAGGAATATATGAATCAATGCCCTGTATCCCTAAACTTTCTCTTTACACATTCCAGCTTTACATTGTACTGCATTGTGGGGTTTTTCTTGGCATAATTATCCAGTTCATGAATAAAATCTTCACCTGTGTCCAGTCTACTCCTCAATTTGTCTTTTGGGGTTTTTTGGTTTAACTTTACCATCACATTTTCCATTTTAAGTTCTCTAATAGGATCTTTTCCAAAACTACCTGTTTTCATTGCAGATAGGCTCCACTCTTTTAAATCTGATGATGTTAATATATGTATTTTAAGGCATTTTTCTTATTGTTCTATGAATTATTTCCTTGGGGTGGGTTCTTCGTTGCCTCTCTTTCATGGACTCTGCCTTCTTATATATTTGGCGATTGGTGGTTGTAATCTCATCTGTGAAAGAGTTCTGTGCATGCCCTGGGCTGCGATGGCTCCTGGCCGCGAGTCACTGGCCTTGCAATGGCAGTAGTGGCCTGCAGGTGGCAGTATGGGGCCGAGGGAGGAGGCTGAAACTATGTCAGTGTGGGACT